CCCCCCAAAAACATGGGTCCCACGGCGCCACTGGTCAGTATCTGTTCCAAGCTTGGCTTTGTGAGTTTGTGACACTATGCTTCTTTACTTAACTACGACATTTTCATTCAGCCAGGTACACCATCAAATTGATCAAATTGATCAAAATGTCAAATGTATAATAATAATGAGAATTGAAGCTATTTCATTTCAGATATATTAATATACTTAGGGAAATCATTGAAAATAATTTCCCTTTTTCCCCAGAATTTGGGCATCCAAAGACATCCATTTTTTGTTCTAGGGGAGTCCCAGGATGCCCCTCTGGCTAAAAGCCTGATCTTCAGTCTGCTTCATCTTCAGCTGTAAGCTACTAGAGCTACTGGCCAATCAGAAGACACATAGTCACTACAATGTATATTAATTAATTTAATGACATTTATTGTCTACACAAAAAGCGAGCAATCCATAAAAAACTCAACATGTATTTCTTCAAAATTGTTTCTTGTTCTTGAAAAGGCAAATGACATAAGGCACAAGCAGACTTGTTTTGAAGCACATATGTGTTTCAGATGCTGCTCTGTTACAACATGTCAAAATAGAATGCATGCTACAGTTGAACATATATTATGCGGTCACCCTTTGTTAAGCGGTCATGTGGCAAAGTCTCCAAAATTTCATAATATAAATACTATTTAAAGTATTTAAATTAAGTGACCTTTATTGAACGGCTGTTATTTCGCACCCTGGAAATAAACATTTCCAAATCTATTAATAAATACAGCTGTGCAATGTTAGCATAATCAAACTATTACTATATTCTTACAATTGTTATAGTCTATTTTATTTAAATTTTTATAATTTCTAATTTTGGGGTAAGTAAATTTAAGGCATTGACCAATGATCGATATCAGACAGATTTTCAAATTATCGGCAGACAATTGGAATCCATAGAATTATGTGCATTTCCGATTGTGTAAAACTGATTGTTGAGATTAAAAATGCTGGATACGCGATTGTTGAGAAATTGGCTAAACATGTTGTTTATGAACGGTTTTAACATTGTAATGAACTTTGGTTGCAGTTAGGGATGAGCCGATTAATCGGTAAATAATCGGCAAAGCCGATCAATCGGCTGTTTTTTAAATAATCGGTAATTGGCCGATTATTGCCTGATAATCGGCAAATAATCAGCCATAAGACTTTTTCTGCAGCTGCCAAACACATGCCAAAATACTCAATTCAAGCGAATAGATTTTCACATTTTGTTGCAAAACCTGCGTCTTTTGTCTCAAGCAAAGTGAAGCTGGGAACATTTCCACTAAAAAAAACGCAGCAGACTAGCTCAGCAATGGCATAGCTGACAGCTAGTGTCTTGTTTTTACACCATAATCTGCCAAAACTAAACTTTGACTATTGACATGCAAGATTGAAGCTGTTTTCAATTGTACATAATGTGTATTGTAAACAATAAAACTGCATTTCCAACTTCATTGTTGGTCATCTTGTGACTTTTCGCTCGCTTTTTAAAATAATCGGTGGGTACCGATTAATTGGCCATTAGTTACAATAATCGGCTTATAAATAATCGACCTCAGTAATCGGCAATTTTCCTTATCGGCTCATCCCTAGTTGCAGTAACATATTACGTTGGAAATTATCATTAAAAAATCCAAATGAGTGACGTTACATTCACTTGGTCAACTGACGTTATGACGTCATTATAAAATCAGTATTGGGTAGACAGGGGTTTCAGAACAAGCCGGCGGCCGGCTGAGTTCCGCCGGCTACTTGAACTTTTACCGCCGGCTACTTTTCGTCTGGTCACAGGAAAAAAATCATATACAAAGGTACAAGCAAACCAACACAATGTTTGTTATGTTCCAATTGGAATTCAAGCAAAACATCACTTATTTTGGAAGATCAATAAGATCAATAATATATAGTACCAAACATAGCTTGCTTTCTAAGTTGGTGTCGAAGTGAATCTTCCTGGAAGATTACTCTGATTGACTCTGACAGTGACTTAAGCATTGCCATTGGGGAATCCGAATTTGACAGTGAGCCAGAGAACCTTCAGAGCCACTGACTTTAGTAAATGTTTTTGGCAAGTGACTAATTGTTTGACAACGAATTAATTATGATAAAGTCATGAAGTGAAAAACTCTGGGCGTAGCGAGGGGGAATTTAGAATTAACATATTCGGAAAATCGGGTTGGCCATTCGGAAAATTACGGCAATAATAGTATAACAAAATTTTAGTTGTTAAACAGAGAAAATATAATATAATTGTATTGTCAGTATAAACTGATTTACGAAATCATGGCATTTACATGGATATTAACATTTAACAAATCGTAAATCGGTAAATATGCATGCATACCTTTATCTTTTAAATAATATACCTTTAAAATACTGACAATTGATTATCCATGACAAACTGCAAAGAATCATATTACCCATACTTTCCTGCAACTTCTCCATGCAATATATTGTTAATTAAATACGCCTTCGCCCATTTAGTACTACTAAATTGTAAACAAATTGTAAATTTCGACATACTGACCATCAGAATTCTGTTCTAAACTTCCCCAAAGTCCAGGAAATGGCATTTCAGAGACTCTAAATTAAAAAATTTCCTCGGGCCTTCGGCCCTCGTTCTCAGCCCCAAACCAAAAAGAGCTTCCTACGGCACTGCATGCTACTCAGCTACTGTAATATGTTTGTGCGTAGAATATGCATATTTTTGTTTGTAAATTGCGTCTTCATTTTCCGGACAGCAAACACCTTCGTGACTAAACTACAAGTAGCACATTAAAGTACATTGTCACTTACAAGTATATATGCAAATGACATCTAAATCTAACAAGTGAACAGTTGTACTTTATCTTCTCACTTATTCTATATTATCTGATTGTTAATTTGCGTCACAGCCGGCTACTTTTTTGGTACAACCGCCTACTTCAAATCATTCTGAAACCCCTGGGTAGACTGTTGTCAGTAATTTCCAATTGCGGCCCAATCAGTCAATCACTACCAGTTATATCCTCGTCACAGATTCTTTACTAACCCTTGTCCCATCATGGAACATGTTTGTGATGCAGGACAAAATTTGGAAATTTTAGAGTAAAATTGTCTGGTGTTAGAGTAAAATTATGAAGTAGGGAGCATCAGGTCGCTTTGCCACTTACAGAATACAAAAAGTGTCCCACTTCCGCTTCTGTTGTCTGTTGTGAATTACAGTAATTTGTTCTGTTTTTCTGTAACGGTTACCGATTTATCGGCAAATACCGCGATGACATTTAGTTTTCTTTCCTTTACATGATAATTTGCGGGAAAAGATTTTTCGTTACATTCATTGCATAAAAGGTGCAAAATTTAAATTTTATCGTGGTGTTTGCCCGGCAAATCGGTAACCGCTACAGAAAAACAGAACAAATTACAGCAAAGCACAACAGACTACAGAAGCGGGACACTTTTTGTATTTTGACTGTAAAGAGTTAACAGGATGCAAGCACAGAGCAGCAGCAATGTGTAAAATCGTCCGGTAATAGGCAGAGTGGAGTAATAAAATAGGGTACTTGGCACACTTAATTAAAGGGTTAATATTTTCTATTAAATTTTTGAAATCTCTGTACCAGAATTTCCAAATTTTCTCATGAGACCTAACCATTACCCAGAAAACACATACCCAGTAATCACTTGATCCACTTCAACATCAAACAGTCAAAACTAACCTGCACTTTCCATACTTCGCTTTGAGGAACCATTATTCGCCTCGGGATAGGGCTGTGGGGGAAGAGGAGGCCTCGGCTGTGGAGTCATGGGCATTGAGGGAGGTGGGAGAGGTTGATACGATACCGGTGGGCCATAATTCATCGGAGGTAAGGGGGGTCTTTGTCCACCATCATGGCCATGGCTGTCTTGTCTTTTGGCGGCCAAAACTGGATGGAGTTTACCCATAGGCACCGCGTTCGCGCCCGAACCGTACGCTTTCTGAGGCATTTTAAGCCCTCCGTAGGCTGCTAGCCTTCAAAACGTCCTGTCTCGACCAGAATTGTTGAAAAATACTGTGCTTTTTACACAAACTTTACAAAATTTGTAAAAGATACTTTTTCTCGAGAGAACGTGTTGTGTGCCCGCGTTGAATCATGGGTAGTCCAAGCTGGAGACTGGTACCGAGAATAGAAAAAAAAATTAAGGTGGCCCCACGACGTTTTACTCTACCGTCAATTGCATCAAGGATGAACAAGTAAATATGGAGTACTTTTTCCCCAAAATTCATGATTAGTGTGTTTTAATCAAGTCTACAGGAGTCACCCGGAGAAAAGATTTATTGTATGACCCAGGTCGCTTGTCACTAATTTTGTAGCTGCTTTGGCGCTTGTTTTATTGTAATAAATGTTGCTGTCAGTTGACCTATAACCGCACAAATCACAATTTGTCGCTTTTTCCCAGTCAGAAGCTGTCGTTGTCGCTCTTTTTTAGATAGTCTTTCGCCTCTTTTTAAGGAATCTCACGCCTTAGTGGGCCTCGAGCCCTCTAGATATCTATGTTTGCACCAGGGCCGTAACTAGGTCTAACTACTGGAGGGATGTAACACCCCCTAAAGAAAAGTCAAGGGGCCCAATTTCCCCAGAGGGACCCTGGAAAGCTGGAATTGCGGAACGTGTTAAATATTGTGAAAAATTGAGGTCGAAAAAGCTGGGAAAAACGTATTTTTAACCCCCCATAATCCAAAAAAAGGTGATTTCCAGTGTTTATTTTGAGCATTTCAGTACAATATGTTTTCGTTTCAGCATAGGCTGTAGTGTATGTATTTTGCGAAACAATGTTTTCTGATTTTGATGTGTTGTAACACGGCGCCTCATGGAGGAAGCTGCTACTGATCCAGACAAGATTTCTAAAGAAATACTTCCAAGTTTGCTTCGAATTAAGTTAACCTAGGCTATAGGGTTAAGCTAATCGGCTTTCGAACACCGGTCTCGGGAGTCTAAATTGCAGGTTGAATTTGAAGGTTGGTTAGGATAAAGATCCCAGGTTAGGATTAGGACACAGAATAAAGTAACAGAAGGGCCACTCAGCGGTGCAACGTGTGTCCTCGTTTTTTATGCAAAAATATGCAGTTTACTGGCCAGAAGGCAGAGCAGCCAGCCAGTACAGCGTGTTTATTGGCCAGAAAATGTCATTGACTGGCTAGGAAAGGCCAACATGCGTAATGCGACATGCGCGAAGACAGAAACTTCAAAGCTTTAGGTTTTTGACTTTATTGTCTAAAATAACACAAAAATAGCCAAAATCTTTACCACACCAACAAAGCACGTTATGGAGCCAAGGGCTATTCGCAAATTTTGGACATAGATTACCATGAAACCTTCTCACATGACATCTATTAGAATCTTAATGCAACTAGCGGTGCAGTACAATCTGACAATACATCAGATGGATGTAAAAACAGCATATCTTGGCGCACCCTAGCCTGCGTAGCAGGCGTTTAGTGCGGGCGGGAGAAGAAAGGGCGTCGTTAACGCCTGCTACGCAGGCTAGGCGCACCCTATTGTACTATTGACGGCGAGCACCTTGTTTACAAACTGAAAAAATCCCTATACGGACTGAAGCAAATTACATTCTTATTTAGTTCATAAAGGTTAGCTTTACCACACCAACCTACATCAACCTGCACCCTTCGCCTTAAAACAAAATCAGCCATTTCATCAAACAATATTACATATTGCACATTTTATTATTTATAATCATGCAAAAATAATTGAATTATTTCCGTTATTAAATATTCATTCCGTTCATATTTGGATCGTTCAAGTTTGTTTCACATAATGCCATTCGTCCACTAAATGAAATAAATAAATATTAGAATAAAAGACTATTGCAGAAGTAGCACTAATTTCGTTCAAAAACCAGGAACCGTTAAAACTTACCACTAGCGCTCACAGTCCCAGGAGTACCTGTAGCTGGAACCTAACAAAATGTATTTACTGTTTTACTGACACATTTTTTAAAATTGCTGCTAAACCTTTCCTAGATTACCTTTATTAATACGCTTGTACCTGCCCAATGTCAATAAAAAATATAAAAAATTCAAGCAAACCTGTTCGACAATCTTTTGAGCATCTGCCGTTGTGATAGTACTGGCGTTGTTTAGAGTCGTGTTCGAACTAGAAATACAAACGGGAAACGATTATAAAACTTTAATTAGGATTTCTATAATGCGCTTTACATCGAGAATTACGCTTACAATTACCTAATTATGTACTTAGCCTAAACTGTCTATTTTATCTTGTACAACAATAAGTGTGATATTTTTTGTGTGTGTTTTGATATTATATGTTCTCAGGTGAATATAATGTTTTTCATGTTACTCTTAGTGTATATATCTACACCGGGCAGGCTGAAAAGTTAGCCTGACCCCGGTGGGAGTAGTCAGGCTAACTTTTCAGCCTGCCCGATGTGGATATACACTCAGAGTAAGATGAAAAAACATTATATTCACCTGAGAACATATAAAATCAAAACACACACAAAAAATATCATGATCATAGAACACAATGGTATCGAAGGTACTAGACTTAGTTATATCACACACTCGAACACACTTAGCCTCGTAGCTCAGTTGGACTAGCACCCCAAAGGTCGTGGGTTCGATTCCCACCGTGGTCAGGCTAACTTTTCAGCCTGCCCGGTGTGGATATACACTCAGAGTAACATCAAAAACATAATAATTGTGATATTACTTTCTTAAACTGTGTTTATCGATCCTAACCCACCCTGTCAATTTTTCCTGTGCATGCAGGCCTTAAAATATCTTTCACTGGGCCGTCTCACAAAATGTCCGGTGACGTTGAGTTTGGGTTGGACATATGTCCGATGACCTTCAGTTCAGTTTTGACTCGGAAATAAGTCTGAATGACACAAATGAATATCAGCACAATGTATTAATTGTGAACGGTAAATGTTGTGAAGATATTAAATTATTTGTGTCATTCATATTTATTTCCAAGCCAAAATTAACTTGCTTGCCAGAACAGGTGTCAGTAAGACGTCGACAACTTAAGCCCGTTTTCCAGTTCATCATTTCGCTCGCCGCCCCGCGTTGATTAGCTACGTTTAAACAACATTTCCAGTTCACTTTTTATGCAATACTCAATTGTACTCTGATTTTCCATTTAACATACGAGCCTCCAGTTCTGGACTAGGGTACGTTTTGATTTACGTTGGACAAAGCTACAGTTCGGACGGACACCAATACAGTCGGGTCGGACAAACAATAAACCTCAGTTTCACTTAGGTCGGACAGAATGTCCAGTGGCTTCCTCTCTACGTCGGACAATTTCACGAACGGGTCGGACAATGTCCGTGACCGACCGATATTTTAAGGCCTGTGCATGGGTGGAAACCGGAGCACCCAGAGAAAATCCACGAGTTTCGGCAGAGCGTTGACTGATTATTTTTACATGAGTGGGCAACGAGAGAATCGAACCTATGATCTCAGAGGTGAAAAGGCGCTTGCTCTGACGATGACTGCGTTACCAAAGCCTCTTACTACACGTTTTGCCGAACCAAGCAATGATTACCTACCAGCTGAGGTTCTGCGGCGCCTGAGCATTCCCCATCATTTTTGACCAGTGTTGATTACAATCTGCGATAACTTTGAATGCGAACGCCTGTGAAAAAGCAAAATTGAATCACACTTGAATTACAACTGCTGTTCTAATTCAACAATGGAACAAGAATGGAACAACAAGAGCAACGACAACGACAACGACAACAACAACAACAACAACAACAACAAAAACAACGACAACGTCGACAACAACAACAACAACGACAACGTCGACAACAACAACGACAGCAAAAATAGCAACAACAACAGCAACAACATCAAAAACAAACAACAACAACAACAACAACAACAACAACAACAACAACAACAACAACAACAACAACAACAACAACAACAACAACAACAACAACAACAACAGCAACAGCAACAACAACAACAACAACAACAACAACAACAACAACAACAACAACAACAACAACAACAACAACAACAACAACAACAACAACAACAACAACAACAACAACAACAACAACAACAACAACAACAACAACAACAACAGCAACAGCAACAGCAGCAGCAGCAGCAACAACAACAACAACAACAACAACAACAACAACAACAACAACAACAACAACAACAACAACAAAATTATATAAAACCTGGTCTTTGGCCTGACCACCAAACGCGAACTCATTTTCAGGTTTGCCAGTTGGAACTTTATAGATTTTAAACCATTCATGGGTGGCCTATATTTAAAATACATATCAATAAATGAAAAATTCATAGCAGTCAAAATACGTTTGTGATTCATATATATATTTTCAACATAGAAGACGTTCTTGTGTCCCCACCTTTAATAGTCCAGGCATATGTTTGTCAACATCACCGATATCTAGTTAACGAGAATAAAATCACAGAAAGAAAGCATTAACCCTGGGCCGAATCGAATCATTTCAAGGTTTCATCAAGTCGAGTCAATGATGGCTATACTCGAGTCGAGTTCTTCCTGACCAAAATGTTTTTTATGAATTTAATCATAATCTGAACAAGTTGTAGCTGAGTTGACTCGAGTCATTCACAGCAGAAATCAACAATTCGAGTCCAGGGGCGGATCTAGCCTCATCTGCACGGAGGGGTGCTTGTTTTCCATGGGGTGGTGCATGAGGGAGCCTTACTGCCCACTCTCTTCTGCAGTCTGTAACGCTACTATCCCAACATTGCCATCATTTGAGATGGCCGAACCTACATTTTTATTCTACATGTTCGCCGTTCTGTTACGTTTTACATTATCGTTTCTTTATGACGTTTATATCGGCTTTTTATTACGTATGCGTGACTGGACAGTCGCTGTAGCACAGTAAAGTACCAAAGTACAGTACATTTGAAAATATGGCTGTATAACAATCTCTGCATGTTTACATATTTAACCATGATATTTAACTAAAGCATTCAGAGTGTTTTCCGGTGAGCTAATAAATGAACGAAATCGTTTCAAGAAATTTACACGCGCTATTCAAAAGCAGAAAATGTATGCTCAAGCAGAATTTTTTAGAGGTGGGGTGCACACCCCCCTGGTAGATTAGCTACTGGACTGGTGTTGACTCGAGTCTAAATCAAATTATTAGAAAGAATAGAAACAGGTTTATACTGTTAAGTTCGAAATTTTGACGCTTTATCATAATTCTTAAGTGTTCCAGATATACAAATGTCGACAATTTACCGTTCATTTTTGAGGCCAATGGATCTTTTACATCAATTGCAAGCACTTTCCAATCCGTCTCACCCTCGTCTATCAATGCCATCACACCAAGAATTTTCACTTGCTTTACTTCGCCTCTCTTTGCAACCTGATAAAATTTATATCCTATAATTAACCCTTTGAGTGGCAATGCGCCCTGATGCATCCTACTTAATTTGTTATTTTACTCTGTCTAACACCAGATGATTTTACTCATCAAATGGAGAGCGCTGCCACTCAATGGGTTAACAATATTTAGCAAGTATGCTGTCTTTGGTGCCGACCAAAATAAATTGTCTGAAATAAAAAAAGAAATATACCATAGTTCCAATTTCACAGACATCAATGGGATCTCCATCACCTTTGCATCGTGTGTCAGCATCAACCACCTGTGGATCTTCCCAAGTCTACAGAGATTCATAACCTGCATGTCTCTCATCACATATCAAACTTAAGGGTTACCAACAGGACTAGGCAGGCATTTAGCCAGGCGGTCGTCCAACTAGAGGCATGCATGGTAGATGTACTGCAGTATTTTATATATGCAATCAGGTGTTTTGACAGGAGGTTTTTCCGTTTTTTTGCTGGTCCGCTCTTGCAGAGACGATTGAGTTTACTTAATCAGTTTGGGGTCTGGAGCAGCTGTCTTCTCCTCCCCCACCATGGGCAAAGGATCCGGATGTTTCATGGCTATAGAACATTTCAAAATTGCTTGGATTGCTTCAAATTTGTGTAGTGAAATGAATTGCAGGTGACATGTTTGTTTTTTCTTACTTTGTTGGATTTCAAATAGGAAAAACCATTCCCACATCACAATTTGAACTCACATAACTAAAACCTTTGATGAGAGAGTTTCAAAACTCAAGTAATGATGACAGTTTTTGGGGCCATTAAATTAAGACCGTAAAAAAGCTCTGAAAAAACCCTGTCTATACAATGTTATAGACATATCTTTAATATATTGAGCTAGTCTGCTAGTTTAGTTTGGCAAGATAGTTTGACTTACCTGTGGTAAAGCTCCATAGTTCCATATATAGCCATGATAAGGAAAAACATTGTTAACATATCTTAATTTCCCTTTCTTGATGTCTTGTTTCATAGGGTTTAGTGAGGAAGCTAAATTGATCTAAAGAATAAAGAATTGTTGTATACATGAAGTTGAGGTTAACAGTGCAAAATAAATGACAAATTGCTGGCAAATGCGGTCAAAAAATTACGAGGACAGTAATTTATTAATTTAGTACCTCCATCTTTGCATTCGTCCATCTTGGAATTTCAACCACCATGTTAAATACTTTGTTCTATAAACACATACATTTAATCTAGTGACTCATTAACCCTTTATGTGGAAATGTGCCCTGATGCACCCTACTTTATTATTTTACTCTGTCTAATGCCAGATGATTTTATTCATCAAGGGGATCGAGAGTGCTGCACTCAACAGGTTATATGTAAATTTTTATAGCTATCATGTTTAAGGACTTTTGTCAACCTGATCAAGAATTGTATTATTAGTCTAGCTGTCCTTACCGGACTGTCTGCATAGAGTGGAATATCATGCATTGGAGAAATGTAACCATTTGAACCAGCTACAAAAATAGAAATGATGTTTTCCTGTGTTGAATATGAGTGAAATACAAGACTATAGCTATTGCATCATACCACATACAGCTATTTCAATTAAGGTTGTCCACGAGCAAAGTGGAAAGTCGAATACGAGTGCGAAAGGCTGCTGGGAATCACTTTGAAAATTCGTTAATTTGTTAACGATTCCCAACGGCCTTTCATGCTCGTATTCGACTTCTCCGCTTTGCTCGTGGACAACCTTAATTGAAATAGCTGTATACTCTTGAAAAACTCTTCAAAGGAGACACTCAATGGGATAAAGAATATTTACATACATGTCCTGCATGTATCTAGAACTAATACAAATCTATCATAAAATGCAATGGTATTATCAATTTCCCAAATGATGAATTGGTAGAAACCATGATTTTTAATTAATTTACCATTAACGGTGATTTTCTTTAATACAAGGTTATCTGCCCACATCAACTGTCGGTATGTTAAAGCGATACTCAACATGCACATAACATTTCAGCGCACAACCAAAACTTTGGCATTATTTTTTAATTATCATAAATTTGCCCCTTTTACCTGATATAAAATTATCATTATAAATTGTAACAAGTGAAATTTGAGCTAGGAACCACTGCTGAAATGATTCTTCCAAACGCGCCCTTGGTTAATATTTAATAACTTTCCATTTCTCAGAATTCAGAAATTGAGAAAATATCATCTGATATTTCAAAAGAAATTCAAAATTTTATAATAGTGTTTTATTTTTTCTAATATCTCACGATTTTTAAATAGGTACAATATAATTCTACTCTAATAAAGATATATACATGAAATTAAAAGTACGAAGTGCACTTGACAATCAATTTATATATGTACAATTAAAAGTATCATTTTCCCTTGCACAATAAAAGTGAAACTTACAAAAAAATCCATGATATTCTTGCGTATCCTGTCCGCCACGTTCGGTATAAGTGTACATTTTTCTAACGAAGTGTCTGCTGTTGAAATAAACTGTTGAAAATCGATAAAAACTTTGGTTAGCCAACACACACTTCGCGACTGCTCTACAGCGTGCAAAGAACATGAATGAAAAGAACGTGTACTTCTGGGAATATTACATGAATTTTCCAAGAAACCATTTCCGCTGTTCGTTGTACTTTTTACCTGCTTGGGCTCCTTGAAAATCGCGGGCAGGTGCTTATTAGATTAATACTGTCCGCTGTATAAGAAACTGGAGTGGTACCCTAGCTGGTTGGGTCAACGGGCATTTCAGGGGCGATTTTAATACGTTTTGGTGATTTTAAATAACCATTTAACACATAACACATAACAACTCTACTTAATCACAAACGAATCCAGAAAACATTTAAAACATTAGAAGATATAAATTTCCATTACAAGAAATTAAATATAGTGCACATGTTTGTACTGCTCAGAATTTTTCCAAGGGTCACGTGCCACCACCAAAATGACACTGGTACTTCAAGAAATGTCAGTATTAAATAAAGTTTTTATTTATAAAAAGTCTATAATAGTCTACAAAAATTCATAACATTTTAATTTATTTGCCAGTTTTACAGAAGTTTTAAAATAATGCAATGATCAATTTACAAAATAAAGTTAAATTATGATTAATACACATTTGTCACAATTTTACATATCATTAATCATTATGCAAAATGATACACTAATTCAGAAGAACAATAAACTAAAATATATTGAAAATTGATCTTCCCATTATTTCAAATTGCATTCGGGCCATTACATTTAGGACGGCACGCGACGACACCCAAACCAAACAAATTCAAATGATTATTTTACGGCCTTAATACAGTTTTAAGTTAACAAAGGGGATTTATAATTGAGAAGACTTCTACTCAATTTTCCGAGTATCACTTTTCGCGGCTCGAAACACACACGTTGTCGTTGTATACAAGACGTAGAAGTATTTGGTTTGCTGTTCTAAACAGGGCGAGGACGTCTAAATTCTAAAACTGGCCCGAGAGACTTTTAATTATTAATTTCATTTCTACACTATCATAAATTTCATTGTATTCCTGACTTGCAACTGAATCCCTTCAGAATTGAAAAACATTTCTTAATTGCTCTAGAAAAAATGGGTACCAGATAAGTGTTGCGAAGATGTCATGCAGCCTAAAATAGATATCTGTCTGTGTTTAGTACGCAAAATAATGTAGAGAGCTCACTAGTATTACCAATCTACAATATTATTACATGTAATCCTAGCGCATAGCGCCTGGGTGCGAAGCAGAGCAATTGGGGGTTGTTCGTTTCATCACTGATTTGTGTTTATCAATATACAATAGAATTATATTATTCGTTAGAGTCTTAACCGTATGTGCTATAGAAATCAATTGCAAAGGCTATATTCCATGCAGCACTTTCAAGAAACATAGCCAACGTGTAAACCCGAGTTGTTCAAAGTGCTGTCGCATCAAACCGAGGCTCACACAACCACTGAATCGTCTCGAGCTTTGTGTGGATTGGCCGCGCCGTTTACTCGCGCACCAGAAGAGTCGGCACCAGCGCCTTCGAGAGCATTGTTTCGTACATCAAATACCTAAAATGGAAAAAAGAACAAAAAGTAGACCATCAGGACAGTACTATGGAGTTTGAACGAAAAGTGGAACGAAAACTGAACGGATACTGAGGTCAAGTTTCAGTTCCTTGTAAAACAAAGTTTCATCACAACGACATATAAGAAATGTGATATTATCAACGTTATGGAAAAAAATAAGAATTGTAATAATAATGGTGCAATGGACCTTTAACCTTATAACTAAAATTTTGATCTAGACAAAAATTTCATCACAGCTTGAAAGAGCATCACAAAATTAGTAATATTCCAAAGTT